CAGTTGAGCTTTGTTGGTTATTTTTAGTTCAGGGCATAGCAGTTTGTTTTTCATATGTCAGAAGAATGTCGTATATGGAACGTAAGTTTTAAAAGTGGAGAATTAATCAGTGGATAAAATCAGTAATGCTATTTGTAGATATACTGGGAAGACTATAAACTGTGCAGTGGCCTCTCTTTACCATCTGGAGGCTTGGTAAAGCACTCACTCGCTCTCTTGGATATAAAGCAAGGTAAAATACTTCTTACTTGACAAAGAGTTGTGATCTTTTAGCTTTAACTTGGTTGTTAATTACGTACTTTAATTCTAATTGCTTGCCAATGGCAGTTACTTAGCTGTATTTAGTTAACTTCAGTTCACTTCTAAAATGAACTAAAATTGTACCCTTCCTTTAATTGCCTTTTATATTATTTTGGATAGACTGACTTCTCCAAGGTCACTTTACAAGCGATCTATTTAAGGAGTCATTGAGAGACTATTTTCTGTGACTCATTGATTAGCTCTTTTCAGAGGTGCAATTAACTTTTAGAAGTAGCTTGTTTTAAAAATCAACATTTGATAATATTGTAAATTAGTCAAACCGGGATGTTGCAAGTAAACATAGGCTGGTGGTAATGGCTTCTTGGACACTTAATTGCAGATGTTTAGGCTGAAGCTCATAATCAAGGAGCAAAGAAATTTATGGCATATAACAAAACCGAGTCTGGGTATGATGCAGAATTCTGTGGCACACTAAGTTAGCACCCTGTAGTTCACTTTTAAGCTAGCTTCAGTTTTTGTGAGAGATATAATTATTAAATCCATCTGGGTTGATATGAACAGTAATATAGGTTAATGGGACACTGTCAGCTTGAAATTATTTTTTTAAATGAGCTGAGTTAAAAATACTTTTAGGGTACATCTACTCAAGAGTAGAGCTGCCAGTTTTTGTGGCTTTACAATCATTTTGTTAGTAGCCAAAATGTTTCTCTACCCTATTGCTGTGTGAAGGATGAAACTAACTACATCAGGGCAAATAGGGAAATCGTTAGCACTCTGTATAGTCAATCTGATGCCCAAAGTAAATAATTTGGAAAAGGGTTGTTACTCTGTTATAATAGTTAGGTGTTATAACTAAGTGTAACTTTTTTTAATCTTCTCTGCCAACAATTCTTATATTTTAACTAAACAGTAAGGCCTTGATTCTTCAGACAGAGGTGCATGGGCAGGCCAGAAATCAACAGGATATACCCTATGGGCACAAAGGTCCATCCATGCAGATCCAGTTGTAGAACTGAGGCCTTAGTATTTAAATTTCAAGCTAGTGGATCAGTTCCAGTGTTATCGTTAAACTGGCTTAAAAGGTAAATATTTAAATAATCACAACTGAATGGATACCATAAACTTGAACGCTTCACTTCTGTTTGAATTATTTTACTTACTAAGTGTTAGTTTACTTGCACATTTGAAAATACTTTGTGTAGTCAATTTCACTGTTCCCCCAATTTTATCAGTTTCCCATTTCACACTTGCAATATTGTTGACTTCCTTTATAAAAAAAAAAGTGTATTGTAAAACCACATAGACTTGTGTAGTACATGAAACTACCTTACTTCATTAAAGGGACACAATCTGGTGCATATTGAAAAGCAATTTCATAGTTTAGAATGCACCTATTGATATGCTATATTAGTTCAGGCTTCTTGGTTACCTAACAAAACTGCAGTACATAGTTTGTTTTGTAACTAAACCCTGACTCTCCCTCCACTCAACATACACCAGACCCTCTGCCTAATGATGCTGAAAAAACTTTCACATACACACAACTTTCCTAGGATGCTGTGTTTTTGTTCTCAACCGCCTAAACCAAACAAAAACATAAGAGCCAAGAGCCACTCTCTCTCTGATCTCAGATTGTTTAGGAGTCTTTTATGCTCTTCAACTAATATAACAAAGTAAATAAACTTCAAAAAAAGGAGAATCACCTTTTCTAGATATCTGGGCTTACTTGTGAGCTCCTTGGCCCCACTCAGGCAAGGTAAACAGACTATAATTCTAACTGCCAGGTTAGCAAGGCCCCTCACCTGCCAAATATACCAATCTGTTTAACCCCTCAAGGCTTGAATAATATGCTGATGTACAGGGACGTGGGTATTGGGGGGGCTTCTTTTCAAGGACCAGCTTGATGCAGTCTGCTGTCAGCCCAGGAAGGTTTTCCTCTGAACCCCAAAGGGCCAGTACACATCATCGCAGTTAAGCTTCTAATAAAAGAAAATATAAGAAAAGGTGGATGGTAAATTTGTGGATCTATGTACCACGTTATTCAGAATTCAAACTTTTTTTTCAAGGAACTGTGATGTAGTTTAATACACAACTCTAATTCTTAAACATCTGTTGTTTAAATTTAATTTCCTACACTTTAGTCACTGTTTTTCTCCCCTAGAATCCAACAGCCATCATGTCTAGCAAAAGGGCAAAAACAAAGACCACTAAGAAGCGCCCTCAGCGCGCAACCTCCAATGTGTTTGCAATGTTCGATCAGTCACAGATTCAAGAATTCAAAGAGGCCTTCAACATGATTGATCAGAATAGAGATGGTTTCATTGACAAAGAAGACCTGCATGATATGCTCGCTTCCCTTGGTAATGTTTATTTCTCCAGTTGTCTATGTATCTGATACTTGTGGCCCCCATCATTATATTAACTGAGCATTATAAAATGTCTATGTGCTTGTTGCAATCATCACAATAGCATAGCTATTAACTTTTTATACATTTTTGAGCTGCTTTATGAAAGGTGTTAGTCTGTTTAAAACTGACACATATAATTGGGTGGATGAATAAACACATTATAATGACTATCGAAAATATGAATACTTTAATTGTAGGAAAGAATCCAACTGATGAATACCTAGATGCTATGATGAATGAAGCTCCAGGCCCCATAAACTTCACTATGTTCCTTACAATGTTTGGAGAAAAACTAAATGGCACAGATCCAGAAGATGTAATCAGAAATGCTTTTGCTTGCTTTGACGAAGAAGCAACAGGTAAGCAGGTGAAATATCAATGCTGGGTTATCTGCTTTTGAATCTTAAAAGGATTTCTTTTATTCAACTATGACTGTAAATATATAATGAATTTAAGTAGATCATTTGAGGTTATTATGGGCTTCTAAAAACTTGTCTACAGGGTGCCTTAGTGCATGTCTTCAGGGATGTAAATCCCAATGCCCATCCCTTTGTTGTGCATTAACTGTCTCATGTGAACTCTGCTGGTGTGCAGTAAAGCTCCATTTGTGCACATTTAATGTAGTACTGCTGGACTACATTGACATGCACTAGGGAACTTTTAGTACACATCAGCAGATCCATATGAGCCAGTTTGTGCATCAGTGTATTGTGCACTCTAGAATTTACACCTTGCTGGTATAGACAAGCCGTGTATATCCCCAGTATACAATTTACTGATAATCATTACTTTTTATTTTGCAAGCTTAAAAAACATTAAATGTAATTTTATCATCTCTACATCAGAAATGGTGAAATATTGGGCTTAAAGACTGTCAAACCTATACAGTTGCCTAAAATCCTCTATCAGAACCCAAAATATTGAAAGAGCCATTTAAAAACAAATATGTGGTGATTGGGAGCTGTCTTAAATTTCCTATAATTTTAAAAACTTAGAACAGTTTTTAATTGGTTAATGGAATACCAGTTGCCCACAAAAGACTTGCTGGTGGTCTATAGAGTTGACTTCCAACACTTGCTGGCACCTCATTTCCTCCTGTTAAACTGTATTTAAAAGAAAACTAAAATGTATAAAATCTAATTTTTTTTATGTAAGAGAAAGTTGCCATAGCAATGTTTGATCACCAATAGGAGTAGGAGAGATGGCTCACATATATGTTATGGGAGGCTGCCCAAACACAAGCTCTATGATGCTGTATTCCATGCTGTGTGGGAACCTCTGGCTTAGAATTTGGCATTAAATTGATACTAACATACAAATATATCTGAAATATTCAGATTTCTTCACATTGTTGGCCTTGACATTTAAATTAGGCTAGATTCAGCTCCCATTCAATATGAGCTGGATTGTATGCTCAGCAGTTTTAAGTATAAAATGTTTAAGACAAGTGAATACAATCAGTTAAAACAAACTTCCATGTAGAAATGTTTTTTCTTAATACTGTCTTAAATCTGTTTGTTTCAACCAAAATATAAACTTGCATCTTTCCAGACTGTCTTGATGCAACTTGAGGTCACTTCTTGCCATTGAAGTTCTGGGAGTATTGTGTGGAAAAAGCTGAGAGGTTGTCACGCAGAATGTACCAAATCAGGCCATTCATCCAAGTCTTACGGTGGCCATTACCTTAAGTGTCAGAGGGAGCTGGAAGGTGTAGAGGCTGTCATAATCCTGTTGTAGCGCTCCAGCTTGACTCTGAAGCATGAGACTTGGATATAATCTTAGCTTGCATAATTAAACACATTATTTTTTGCAATTAAAATAATCCAGCCCTGTTATTAAATGCAGCTACAGTATTTAACTTTGGCCTCCTGCAGTCTTAAATTGACAGCTTTGTGTCTTCCTTCTCCCTGGAGTTAATGCTTAAATGGGCTTGTAAATATTTATTCTGTCTCTCTTAAGCAATACATGTGTGGTGCTTATTTATATAATGTGATTGCTTAACTCCAAACTAGAAATTCTTTCTATTTGAAGATTCAGTAAGAACTTTTTTTGTTTATCCTAATGCACTGTACACATTATATTCCAGGGTTCATTCAAGAAGATTATCTGAGAGAGCTGCTGACGACAATGGGAGACAGATTTACAGATGAAGAAGTAGATGAGCTGTACAGAGAGGCACCAATTGACAAAAAGGGAAATTTCAATTACATTGAATTCACACGCATCCTTAAACACGGAGCAAAAGACAAGGATGATTGAACAAAATTTCAGACACCTGCAGCTAGCTCTAGTTTTCACTTGCGTTTATTTTTGAGGGTTTTTTCCTGGTAGAACCTGTTGCATGCATCTAGCTTTTACAGCTTTTGCCTTTCTCAGTATATTTATCTATTCCAGGCCATTCTGGCACATTTGCACCTGTGTAATCAAGCTGGATGTGGGGGATGATATTGTGGTGAAAAGAATCTGGGGACAAAGATTAATGAATTTGAAGGCCCAGGAAAAAAGTCTCAATGTTTCTGGTTTAGCTGGATTTTTACATTTTTTGTAATAAAAATGTCCTTTTGAAATAAAGATTGCTATATAAATAAAATACCTCAAACTGTTTTGTGAAGTGACATTGTCTTGTTACTAAATGTCTTCATTTTTAAAAGCATATGTACCTACTCTTGATATCTGGGTAATACTCAAGATATTACAGTAAGTTTACAGTTTATAAAATGTTTGCATCAAGTACTGTTTCTTTATACTTAAGTGAGGCAGTGATACTCAATTTTATAATATTAACACTCACAACTAATGGCTTTAGTCTTTGAAGGGAAGTCTGGCTAGTGTTTAATGTAGGCATAAACAGAATGGGTGGGGAAGACTTTCAGTTGGACTGCAACCAATTCTTTCTTCCCTGAATTGTGCTACTGAGGTAAACAGCTTTCATGATTTTTTTTTGTGTGTGCATGCTGATTAGCCCTTATTTATTTTCCTTTACTTGAGGAGTGAGAGCATTTGGAAAATTGTAACTTGGAGAACAGGAATACATAAGATAAAGACCAGCATGATGCTGATGATTCAAGCAGGAGGGAACACGTTTATATTTCCATTGTGCCTACTTCTGCCTGCCTCCCCCACCACTAACTTGTTCTAGACTGAGATGTCTACACTACCACTACTGAATGACTGCATTTTAAAAATGATATATTGTTGCTATACAGGCCCCTTGATTTCATGTGCAGCTGCAGCACGATGAGAACTTTCTTCATTTACACATTCTTAAACAATCGTGCTGATGTTAAGGGTCTTCCTTGTTTGATGAATTTTTCAATTAAGTAATGCAGTGCTGTCATGTTCTAAAAAGTAGGATGCAAATAGTTAATTATCTATTTCATTCCTTGCATGTGCACAGCCCCTCCCACCTCCTTGCAGTTCTTGCAGGTCATCTTTCCTTAGCCATCAGTTGGAATTGATTACAATCTGCTGTCAGTCCCCTATATTGACCTGGTCCCAGAAGTGTTTGTAGAACCCCATTGCACTCCCCTTGTATGAGGGTTAGGGGAGGAGGGGGTTGTCCCCTTGATGTCAGACATTAGGAACCCCAACACCCTTCCTCAGTTCCTGTAGGAGATGTCTTCATTCTCCTAATCCAATTCTGATTTATCTGGGAACCAGACTCCCTAGTGAATGATTACATGCAGTGGTCACCTGCCAAGTTGCAATAAAATATTTTTACAACCTAATCTATCCACTGACTCATGGGGCAGCTCAAGGGATAAAGCCCCCCTACCCAGCCCAACCTGGCACAGAGGGAAAAATTCCTTCCCATTCCCCAAAAAGGGACATGCATGATGCTCACAGTAAGGCCCAAAAAATCTCCTTCTACTCTTAATTCCCAGGAGCAAGAAGATTTTTCTTTCCAGTGCAGACTAGTGTCTCTTCTCTTTCCCACTCCACTCCTTGTATACATAGGAGCCAGTATGGCTTCTGCACCTTTCTGCCTACCTCCTCCAGCCTGTGACGGGTGAAATCCTTAAAGCGTCAATAGGTTTTCTTTCCACTGCTGGCCCCCTAAGTCTGAGGTAGGGTGGAGCACTTGTGGAGTGTCTAAGTATAGTACTGCCCTCTTACTACTTGTAGTAGCTCTGGACAGAAGTACTTCTTCCACTTCCTCTAAAGCCTTATTCTTGCTAAGGGTTCTTAAGTGGGGAAGGGCGAATGTTTATATGAAACAGCAGCTGTGGACATACATTATTTCACAGTGCCATACTCATCTTAAATGTAGAGATTCCTTTCTCTAATATTGCTGGTGTTTCTAGCATGGTAATTCCTGGAGATGATCTGTTTCTTCTTCGTAAAATATGTAGTTTAAAATAATAGTTTTGCCTCAAATTTTTCTTGGGTGGTCTCTCCCCCCCCCCCCCCATGTTTTAATTAAAACCAGTTATTTCTACATTTCCTAGTGTGTTTTTATCCAAGTTGTAACTGGCAGTTTGCCCGTAGTCATTGCTTTTCTTGATCATTTTGGGTTTGGTTTGTTTTTTCCTACCTACCTGGATAGTCTTTCTTCTTTAACAACAATGTTGCCATTACAGACCACCCAGCCAGCTCTTCCTCCCCAGTAGCTGTTTTCCAATTGTCACAGCGCTCTTCAGCATGGTTCCTATGGCACACCCTGTGGGAATATCAGTAAGACCTCAGTAGCAGCACATTTTTGAAAAGCCATTTGCCAAATATGCAATAAATTCTTTCCTACAACACACTGACAGGGATGTTGCAGTTAGGAAAAGCAATCACTCAGACCTTTAAGAAACAACAGCAGAAAACACATTTAAAAATCATTTTGTAACATTAAAACTAAAGAATAATAAAAAACCAACCTTGGCTAGGGCATCGTCCTTTCACATTTAAACAACTCTCGATGTGTAAATAAATTTATAGTGCATATAACTTCACAAAATGTAGACTTCATTATGCTTTCTGTTGTTTGTGGATGTGGAGGCTTACCCTAAGTGAGTTGAGATCCAGATCTGTTTTCTTCTACATGACTCTTCTCTGCCACATATAATAATGGGTGTCTTTCTTAACAGTGGGTCTCAAAATTTGTCATATGATGGACCTCCCACCATCCAAATCCCTCACACCTTATGTTTGAATTAATATTAGAAATTAATAATATGGGAGACCACCACATACTAATTTAACCATGAATTCCTTGAAGTCCAAAGGCTAAATAGTATTTTATACAATTAAGCTAAAAATGCTCACAGCATAAAAACAAGCAGTCACTATACCCAATACAGTAACAAAATATTCATAAGCATGTGATCAGTATACTTACAAATTGGACAGACTTAGGGGAAACCATCTCATTTTGGTGTGCTCCAGCATGATCAGGTCAGGTCTCACAAAGGACATTCAGAGTCATGGCTCTATACCGTTTGCTAACTTGCAAGCTTTAGCAGAAACCCAGTCTGAAGCAACTTGTCCTTGTTACTTTCCCTTCTCCAAGGCCTTCCTTTCTTATCTCTTTTCCTTCTTGCTGACCAACAGCTTTTTCATTGCATTTGCGTTCAAGTGGGCTTTACTTTTAAGATAACATGGGTGTGAAAAGGGTGGGAAGATCCATGGTGGCTCCTTTTAAGACAGATTTTTTTTTTTCCTATTTAAAACCAGCTGCAGTCACTGCTAGCAGTCAGAGGCCTTTTTAAAAATTTTCCTTATCTCATTAATTATTCTTTGAACCAGACATCCTCCCTACTCAATTCCTTCTGGCCTTATAACATTATTTTCAAGGCCTTTCTTTACAACACATATATTTCCTTAACCAAACTTCAGCTAACTCTAATTCTTTATCAGAGGGGTAGCCGTGTTAGTCTGGATCTGTAAAAGCAGCCAAGAGTCCTGTGGCACCTTATAGACTAACAGATGTATTGGAGCATGAGCTTTCGTGGGTGAATACCCACTTCGTCGGATGCACTTCATCATGCATCCGACGAAGTGGGT